CTGCAGCCATACCAAAGCTGTGCTCTTGCAGCTGTAGAAATCCACATGCTTTGATTGTGCCCTGAAGGAAATAAGCCTTACAGCTCATATCAATATATTGAACTTTAACTCTGTTGTATAAACCAGAAAATCCAGGTGTCAAGTCTATTTTTAAGCCCTAATCTGTAGCAATGAAAGTGAGAGTTTCATGTGTTTGCTGAGGCAAGGGGATTTCTGTGTGTGCAGAACTACCTGAGGACTTACAGAAGGGTTTGCAGGGGGGAAGGAGCTGGTTGGGTTAGTTGTGTAACTCGGAGGGTGTTTTAGTCTGGGCAGGAGCTGTGTGTAGGGTGACTAGAGCCAAGAATGTCATTGCCTTACACACAGACAGTACCAAGCGTTGACCACATTGTCTGTTTTGGCACAGTCTTGAGCCCATTCTTCATGCCTCTGAATGAGGTTACAGGTAAACCTTGTTAGAAAGCAGAACAGTTAACAGCCCCCCCTGTCTTGGCTGAGGCTGTTGTGTTTGCTTCCCAGCTGGGACCACTGATGCTCTTGATGTGTCCAGCTGTGGCCTCGGGCAGGCACTGGGAGCTGGTGTTGGGCAGTGAGCACTGCTCCTCCCTGGCACAGCAGAGGGGACCTTCATACTGCCTCTGCCCTAAGACCAGGGCCTCTAGGCAGATTTCCACTGATGGAAAGGAGAAGTGGGGAAGCATTCTCAAAGGCAGGTGCTTTTTTTAGCTGCAAGACAAGGCCCTGCCACCTCCTATCTGAGATAAATGCACTTCTGCATTGCCCAGGCTTATGCCCCACCGTATGAGCAGTATGACCCAGCCTAGAAAATACGTGGTTCTTCAGATGTGATTGTCTTTCGATGAAAACTGTCATGTTCTGACAGCTCCCAGGAATGCTAAAATCTCATGCGTTTTACACCAAACCCATGCAGCCTGTTGATGTCAGAGCTGTGTGCGGGGTCTTCAGTACAGAAGAGAATTAGACCTCTGATTATTTTGCTTATGGCTCCTCTGGTGTTCTGGGCTTCATACTCATTGATTAAGTGGCCAGATGTCCTGAAGTCGTTGCATACAGCTGGACACTAAACTGTCTGCTACAGAGAAATAGCAAAGGCCTTCCTGCTTTATTAGGGTAAAACTGACAGTTTTATTGACTGGCTTTTTGCCTTGATCATATTTACAGTGCTAACACTCAACCTATTTAAATCATTTCAGTAGCAAGCTGGATACTCTGAAAGCAGTTCTGATTCCAGGCTGAAGAATAGGTAGCTGTTTAATGGATACAATGAACTGTCATATAGCCACATTTTAATATAAAACATAATTATTCCTCTGTAACAGCTGACAGTGTGTTTTGCTGTGGGCAAAATACAGCTTTGATAAAGTACATTGCCAAAATGAACCCAACTAGTTTTAGAAACACACCACACTAGCAAATCAGTGCTTTTACTACCTGGGTACAAGACATGATTTTATGTTTTTATACATGAAAGAATCTACTGCAGACGTTGTTATAAACACAAGTTAAATTTAAAAGAAAACACAAACCAACCAACCAAAAACCAACAAAAACCAGAGAGCAAAGCCAAGAGCAAGTATCAGCCCACATCAAATGAATCAAGCAGTTGATAAATGAAGGATCCCTGCAGCTCCTCTGCGGGGCAGTTTCTCAGGCTGTGGCCTTGTGGGCCACTGCTGCTCTGTAAGACATCAGAAGGTCTTCTGTCAAAGAGTGGTGAAGAGAAAAAAAAATCTCCTCTTAAAAAAGCCTACATGCATTCCCACAAATGCAAGCAAGCAGAGCGAGTGTGTGGACACATGAAATTAACAGTGTATGTATCTTAATTGGTTGTAAATTAAATTATTGTGGCAGCTGGACAGAAAGTGAATTTAGGAAGAGGAGATATTCCTTTATTCTAAAGACACGCTTTAGAAATATTATTCTAGGAAATACAGGTATATTAATCCCTCTGGAATATGGATGCTATGCTGGTCCTCTGCCACACACCTACCTCCGCTCTGCTGAGATGCTCCAACAAAGGTGCTGGGGGTGTTTCTGGGGAGCAACCTGCCAGCCCCCCGCTTTACTGTTTACATTAATGGCTGCACTTAACCATAATCACACCAGAGTTTTTTCCCTTTGTTGGTTTTCTTCTTTTCCACTAATGCGGAGAAAGTCAAGATTTTAGCAGAGCTCTGCTGGAAAATGTCACGTAAATATTACAAACCCGTGAAAGCAGCAGGAGCTTTGCAGAGCACACTGCCGGCTCAGGCTGTTTGACCAGACCGGGGTGGGGGGGACGGGTCGGGCTGGAGGAAAAGTGTCGGGTAAAGTCTAAAAACGAAGTTCTGGAGAGGTTTTTGGCCGGAGGATGGGCGGTGTGGCGGCTGCTGCTATGCCGGAGCGGGGCAGCAGATGGGGATGGTGCTGCAGGAACGCAAAGGGAAGGCTGCATAGTGCAGGGATTTAATAAAAAAAGGTTGAGGGGGGGGGAAAGGAGAGTGTTACCAGGGACTCGTTTCTCTGGCTGTTGCAGTTAATGTCGTTTAGGGAGCAAGGAAGTGGTAAATATTAAGAACTTCCCCTCAAAAATTTATTAAATAGCAGACAGCGTCTCTAGCAATTTGACTCGGCGCATCGTAGGGCTGTGCTCAAAATGCATTGCTCTGTTTGTTTTCGAGTTACTTAAATAAGTTAAACAAAAAAATAATAATAATAAAACCCCCCAATCAAAAAACACCACTCCAAACGAAAAACAAGCCCAACAACAAAAGACCAAAAACCAAATCCCCAAATCTAAGGAGGTCAGTATGAGCATGCTGGAAGACCCAGGAATGTTTCCAACCTCATCTTACTGGGACACTCCTGGAGAAATACGTGTACATACATGATGACAGGCATAGCCAAAGAAGGGATATAAAGGAAGTAGTTTCAGAAGAGAAGACAAGTTTGGAGAGGAAAAAAAATGTTGGGATATAATTTGAGTACTCAGAATATGCCAGCAAACTCAAGGGAAGTGTATAGGTATTGTACAGCAAAGTTTATTTTAGATTCTCTCTACTTTACTAGGCATATAAGGTAATCCAATTGTATCAGTCTGTTATCTCATCCTATCTATTAGGTTTGCACAGCCAAATCCTTAACTATAATGTAAGTTGTTGCATCTCAGCTGACTTCAGTGAGTAATGGCAACATATACCAGCTGTCTCTCCCTGTGCATCCCCCTCCATCCCTGCCAGCTCTTTGATCTTTTCTGGGAAGCTCTCCATTGTTCAACCAGTTCTTCTGTCTTTCTGTGCTGATTTTTAGGATGATTTAACATCCTCTTCTCAGTCTTCATCATCCTTTGCTCAGTTCTTAGCCCTGTGGTGGTTGTTTCCTAATAGTCAGCCTTCCACTTGTTTCCTTAAGATCTCTTACCTGCATTTGCTGTTTCTACGTAGCTACTTAAGCATTTCTCTGTAATTTAATTATCTATATTCTAATAGGTAACTTAAAAGGAATATGACTGTTTATTAATAAGCATTGTATGTAACACCTTTGTTGCCTGTAGCATGTTGTTCATGGGGCTTATGTAAAAATTAGAGAAAATGCCTCATAATAATCTCATTAATTTTCTCTCTGGCTAGGATAAGTATTTGTTTAGCAGCCTCAAACTTATTTGAATATGTCAGAGGTTACAAATGGAGTGTATATATATCTATCTCCTTGTTTGCCATGTTAAAGGTGCTGTATTTCTGGATGAGGATAAAAGTCTCATGATTCAGCTAGTTAAGCATTGGAGTTAGCCAGATTTCCAGAACAGGTTTCCTGCCATTTGGACACCTCTGTGAGAAAACTACTGGGCCCTGACAATGTGGCTGAAAATAAGGGGGACCACTGAGTTGTTCTTTGCTGATTTAGGGGTGTCACAGTAGTATTTACTGTTTAAAAAACCTGGACCAAAGTGGATTTGTAGTTTTTTCTAAGTAAAAGCCAATAGCTGTTCCTACTAAGTAAAAGAAAACACTGTAAACTGGCATATCTGGGGAATTGTGCAGAATGAATGTGTTAACTATCTAAGCTGCTATGTATTAGCATGAATCCATGGGTTAAATCATTATGTGTAATTTGAGGCTTCCTGAAAACCTTCTAAAGAGAGACCAGGAAGAAGCTGCATGATTATTTTTGTTTTGCCTAATGAGCCTGGCTAAGTAGAAGGTCACCTCAAAGTAGAATTTTTCGAGGATACCAACATTTCCTCATCCTAGACTGTGTGTCTGATAAAATGGCTGGATCTTGAGACATGTGTGCTTCACTAATTGAAGGTCATATTAGCATGAATGGGTCTAACCTTGGCTGATAGCTACCATTTCAATTTAACATTGGCTTCCTTATAAAGCAGAAATATGTTTTTCCTACAAGAGACACTTCTCATAATGCAGCCTCATAAAATCTAACATAGAATGGTATATTCACATCTACCAATAATTTAGTCTTCCCCCCACCTTTTAAATAATTAGAATGAATGAATAGAAATAAAATCCACATGCAGTAGCAAAGATGTAATGATGTCATGTGTGTGTATGTTTATAGGAAACATCACACGACGGCATTTCAACAGTGAATTTGTTGATCTTAAGTGATTAAAAAAATCGATTTGATTATAACTCGTAAATTCAGTGAGAGTTTCCGGGATCTTAGAAATGAATGCAGTGTTCATGAATATGGAAAAAAAAAATCTATTTGATTATAACTCGTAAATTCAGTGAGAGTTTCCGGGATCTTAGAAATGAATGCAGTGTTCATGAATATGGAAAAGGTTTCCTTGTGGGATTCAGGAGTGAGGTGACAGTGCAGCAGCTGGCCAACAAGTCCGTGTGACTATGGGTACAAGGGTATAAATATCGTCCGCTGCTGCAAGCACAAGTTAAGGATGTGGCATATACAGTCACTTGTTAAGGTGGCTCCTGTGCAAAAGAACTGTTGACTCAATCAAGAAACACAATAAATAAAACCTCTTATTGTTGAGGTTTTATTGTGGGCCGGAGCGTTCCTTTGAAGCTTCGGGTGCTGGCTGCTGTCAGAAGCAGGATACTTGCCTCAATGATCCGTTGCTTCTAATCAGGTCAGTTGTTTCTTATGAATCTAAAACTCACACTTACTAGGTATTTAGGTCTTATTTTAGCATTGAGAAGTGCTCTGGGAAGGCGTATGACTCAGATTATAACAATTTTAGATTCTATTCAAGTAGCAAGAAGTTAGGTACATTTTTAGAATATTTGGAGCTAATGGAAAACAAAGCATTTTGAATGAATTCCAGCTGATAAAACCATGATCCTAAATCAAAATTCTCTGTACATGTGAAAATGCTGTGCAGCATAATTGGGGAGAATTGCCATCTAGATCTCACAGATGCCAGTCACCACGGATAAGCAGTTTTCAGGTGTGCAAATTAGTTTGCATATAAAATAGCTCTGGCAGGTCCCAAAATTAAAACTGACTGGTTCTTTGTGCCTCTATTTAGTCTTACTCCACCAGAGTACCCTATCTGAAAGTTGCCTGCTTCCTGATTTGGGACATAATGGAGGATGAGATTAATGATAGCTGGGATAGTAGCATAATATAGGATCTTAGGAAAGAGAGAAATTACAGCTGCCTTTGAGCATCAGTGTGTGACTCTGGGAAAGTTTAGTGCCACAAGCTGGATTTCTTGTAAGGACGGTAAAAATTTGACAGGGCAATTGGCATTATCAATTTGGGGGCAGGGTGAAGGAGGGAAGAGAGTTCTGCTTTTGAAAGGGAATAAATTGTAATGGTATAGTTAGAGATTGTTTAGAAGAGAAGAATTCATGGCTGTATTGAGGATGCTGAGCAAGGAGACAACTGTGAATGGACGCCTGTTTCCGAGTAATTGGGCAGCAGGATCCCTAGGCAATTTGTTTGTTATAGAATCTTCCTTACAAAACTCTTTGCTGAAATATGTGGATTCCTGAGATGTGTCACCCTGCAAAAAAAGAAAAATCAACATAGGGTTTCCTGCAATTTAATTTTGTACACATCAACACATTTCTTGATTACCCTTCAAGCTTTCAAAAAAGATGCCAGTGTTTTCCTGCGGTAAAATCAAGACTTAAATCTGCATCCAGTTGTTTTTACTCCCAGCACTGTTCTCTGTGGACAGAAGCAGACAATCTGCACACGCTTTGTTCTCTAGCCACAGCCCTGGCATATGCTCAGTGACATTGTAGAGACCAAGACACTCGGGCAAGCACTGGTTTCCCAAGCGCTGTCAGATGAGAAAAATGGTTGACCAAGCTCTGGTGACTTATTTTTCATAGTTGCTGGGTTTTGTTCTCTTTTGTTAATAATAGGTCAGAGGAAGAAAAGCCTCATTACAATCACAATACATGCCATGCATAAACCCTAATTTACAACTGCAGGGGAACACTGTATTCTGGACTACCTGTCAGCTGCAGACAGCGCCTATCGCTCCAGTTACGACGAGAGAGAAGGGAAGGCTGCCTTGCTCTGCTTCCAGGTACTGTTCTATTCTGCAGTGCCACAGTGAAATATTAATTACATTTATCAGAACAGGATTAAACGTGGAATGAATGATTAATTATTTGGCACTGGGACAGATTAAAGTTCTGTCCAGGGTTTATATATTCATTAATTACTCGTTAAATCAAAGGGACACTACTGTCTTTGGAGGAGGTGCAGTCTTTTCAGCTGTGTTGGTGCAGTGGTTTGTGCAATTGATTTGGTATTTGAAGGTGCTTTCTGTAACAAAATAATTGTCATCATAATATATTCTACTTCTTAAGCATGATGGAGATACCTTTAAGTGTGTAATGCAGAGTTTAGTTCCCTGCAGGTCTTACCCTTTTATTTTCTGTTTTGTATAATGCTTTGAAAAGTCATAGGTATAGAATTTAACATAACACATGCTTGATAAATTTTTGCTATCACAGCGGAAGGGATAGACTGGAATGATTTACTAGAGCCTCTCAGCAGGGGACCCTGTTATCAAGAGAGCAGGTAAGTGTGAGCCTTCCCTGCTGGATGGTCACCTGCCCAGTATCTCCACTGGTGTGGTCATAATGTGCCAGAAGTGATGTTACATGCTACACATGTATTCTTTACTTGGATAGGACAGCAGGAGACACATATTCATGATTGTGTCTAAAATATGTATATAAGAGTGTTTCTGAGCTGATGAGATTTTTTTCAAGAACTTTGGGAAGGTTCCACTTCTGTGTTGATGGTATCGTGTATGTGGAGATTGTCCTTAATGGTATTTTCAGTTAGTTTTTATGGGGCTGATGTCAAGATTGACTAGTGACTGCAGTGACTGCTTGGGTCTGATAGCACTTTATGCATATAGTGGCACAGACTGAGGCTGCCCAACAGATTCAGCTTCGCCTGTTCTGCCTCTTTTAATGCCTTCTTTTTTTTTACTGGTGGCCATGCTGTTCTTCATCATTGCTTATATGGAAAAACTGCTGTGTTACCCTGAATGGTAGAGTAGAGGACCTTGTAGTCATACATGTCATTCAATTCTTGGCTGATGTTTTGTGAGTGATAAAAGCCATCATGTAGATGCATTTGTTTTCTTTGCATAAGGAATTCCTATTTCTCCTCAAAAGACTTTTGCTTATGATGTTCAGTATTTAACAAAGTGACTCAGGATGCAGTTTGCCACGATGTGACCGAAGGTTTGCTAACATGGTAAATACCTATCCTTCAGCTTTGTGCTTTCTCTGTTCTTGGCATATTATACTGCAGCCTCTTGATGGAACATCACTGATACACGAATGCTTTAATTCCTTTCAAAAGCAGTGCATATTATTGAAAGTGCAGAATCACGAGTTGCAAGATTTTAGAGTTTATAAGAGGTGCAGGAGTTGATTAAAAATAGATTCTGTTCAGGTCGATGTGGCTATCACAAAGCGAAGAGAAAATAACAGAACCAGTCTGGAGCCCAGGTACTTCTAGAAATGAAAAATAGAGAAAAAGAGTCAAAACATGTGAACACATTTGAAAAGATTAACCTTCCCCAACCCTGGCCCTGCCACCCCCCCACCCAACACCCAGAGAACTCAGCTGTTTGGGGCATTGCAAGGACCACAGGCAGCAACTGCCATGAGTCAGTTCTCCTTTTAGGAAAGCTCTGAAATTCTGGGTCTTGAGAAACAATATTGTGAAAATAGCGCTGCTGAGAGCTGCTGAAGAACATGCCACACTGAAGATGTGAAATACCACGCTGAATCAATAAATAGGACTCTGACTAGCTGGAAACAGTGGGGCAGATTCTCATTTCTGCCTCATTTAAATAAATCTATGAGTATCAGGGATCAAGTTGTGTGTCCCAGTGGTGCTGTGTCATGAAAGGGTATTTGCTAACCTAAGTGTAGGGGACATTGTGGGGGAACGTGCCTTTTCTGCAAAGCATTTCACAGTTTCTGGAGGCTCCTGGATTTGTGAGTTGTCATATTTATTAGTCAGTTCCCACTGCTCACCATCATTATTAAAAATGACAACACCAGTTTTTGTATCCTGAACTGACTGCATTGTATTGGTCTGAGTAATAACGTTCTTTATTTTTGTCGAGAGCGTTTTGTTTATGTACTCTATCCACGAGGGAAAATATACTTCTGCTATTGCTGCAATGCACAAGGGACAGTTAAATCTAATAAGTTAATCTAGATTTCTAGAAACAAAATTAAATTTTCAAATAAAGGCAAACTGACAGCTAAGGCATAAATCTTTTATTTAAAATAGAAAATAAGCCCATTCAAATGCAATCAGAGAAGACAGATGTAGGTAAAAAACAAGTAGAGATAGGATATATGGTGCATAAATTTGCTGTGTCTGTGTGATAGATCAAACAGGGTGACCTTAAAAATGTTCCTAAAACATCAGCTAAAATATGAAATTTGCATATATTTAAATACTGCTTGTTAATGTAAGATGGACCAGAAAAGATTGTTAACAATGAAAGTAAAATACAGCACAGGTGTAAAGTTTACAACAGAAAGGTCACCTTAGCTATCAGAGTGGCTGAAATGTAAATATTTACTAGCTTGGAGCTGGCAGGAAGTTCTATAAATGAGAAATATTATTTTCTACTGTTTTAATATATCTTCTCAGGTAAAATATTCAGCTGAAAAAAAGACCTTGATTCAGCAAAGTTCCTAATTAACTAAGTGTTTAACTTCAGACATCCTCTTAGATCCAAATTACCTTAATGGGACTACTCATAGATGCAGTTTTCTGGAGACAGGGGCAGGTCCCTCTGATGAAGCGTGTTTGCAAGATCACGGAGGACGCTGTGAAATTTTACCTGCTTTTGGAGTGGTAAAAGGAGCTGTTTAAATTCAGATTTCTCAAGTATTTTTCATTCTCTTTTTCTGGGTGCAAATCTGTGGTAGGTTGCCGGGTTTGCTTACGCATGGGATCAGACTGCAGCCTGGATGGGTGGCATTTATTTCCTATTCAGGAGAGAAAACATAGCTTTTCAAAAGGACCTGATATTAAATCGGGAGGAGCTCTTTTGTGTAAATACTCTTCTTGGACAAAAAGCTGCCTGGGGTTTCTTGATTCCTGCCCTGCCATTCTCTCCTGGACACCTTTTCCTCCGTCACCCTGCCCTCACAGCAGTGTGTAAGCCATGCTGCTTCCTGCCATAGGACATGTTTAGATCCAGTTCCCCCAGGCGTCCGCGGTGAGTCTCCGGATTTTTCATCATATCCTCAGAACGGGAATTTCTCCAACTACGTAGGTAATGGCATAGGCACTGCTTGTTCAGCTCCAGCCCCCTTAAAGAGTTTGAGACTGGCTTGTCCATCTGGTCGTCCCTAGAAATACATTGTCATTGTCTCCTGGTTCTTAATAAATCTGGGTTTTCTAGAGATTTCCGCTGTAATTGGATCAGTCATTAACGTAGCCCAGATTTCTCACTGTATTCTGCTGAGATTACATCTGTTCCAATACAGTGACCCAGTTAGAGCCAAGATATCTGTGTGACTATGAAAAAGGAAATCCATTTGTAAAACATTATAAATATTTTGACGTACAATACCACAATCAAAGAGATGTAGTTAATGCTGATAGCATCGTCCAGCCCCTGGGAACAGCACAGGGATGTGCGGATGGCGTTCCAGCACTCCAGACATGGACATAGGTACTGATAGGCACGAGGGGATTTATTCTTTCAATTTTCTTGTTTGATATTTTTTTCTGTTGTTTCGTTAACTCATTAATGTTCTTTTATGTGGGTTTTGTGAATGATTTGCTTTTAAAGTGGTATAATTCTGAAAGGTCTTTTTTTGTATTCATTTCTAGGAAGAGTGTAAGTTCTTCAAGTCATTGATTAGTGACAAATGCCATCTTTTGAGAAGTTCTCTTAATCTTTGGGATGTCTGTTTTGAAGGTCACTTCCATTTATTAAAGGATTGCATCTGTACACCTGAATATTTCATGAATTATCAGTATTGTTTCTAGCTTTTGCAATACTTTTCCATAGGAAAAAAGTCAAATAACAGAAAGATTTTTAAAACATTACCCAGAAAGCTACATACTGAGCTAAATATTAGGCTGTCGTAGGTCAAGTTGGATTATTTCTGTCACACCTGTATTACATAACACAGGAAAAATCAAAATTTGAGGTGGCATAGATGTGCATTGTGGGGATAGAGCCTTCACACTTGGGTGTCAGCCACGTGTGGTTCTTCAAGTTGTACGTGGAGACCTCTGGTAACACCTGCAGCATATAAGGTGAAAACACAAAACCAAAGAGCAATAGAAAATAGCCGGAGGGGCTTGCAATAGAATTGTGTAGATGAAGCACTGGGTTCCCTTGAATGTGTGGCGTGCTGCAGAGCTGGAGCCGCTCTCTCTGGCCTCGGTTGCTGAGGAGTGTCATTTTCTGTGTAAGGCAGATTTTGGTGCATCATAAAAAGCACAGGTCCCTCACTGTTCCTTGCTGAGGGCTCTTCTGCACATGACAGGCTCTTCCTGCACGTGGCAGGGGTCTGTCGTCCAAAAACAAAGGTCCTGGAGTTAGTCTGCACTGATATCTGTGTGTAGGTGTTTGCACTGTCACCCCTTGAGGGGATGGACTGCTGAAGGGAAGGTCCTTCACACTGTGGGATCGTTAAATCTGAGTCGTCTACAAAATATGTGGTGCGTGACAGAAATTTTTCTGTATGTTGTTATATGTTAACGTGCCTTAGTATGAGACATTTCAGAAATGCTGCTTGCAAGAATACACCCCTAGAGTGTAATTTAACATTTGCCCCGCACTCCCAGCACTCTGAAAACTGTCTCTGCTTCCAGGAGTATATGAACTTCATTCACATACTGGTTTCTTTAAACACTGACTGGAAACATTTGGCTGCCATGTAGACTGAATGGGTTTATAGAATCATTAGAGCTTGCTTATTTAGGGAAATAAGGTTTATTTGTTTATAAGAGGCCTTTTAAAAAAATGATGTGCCATTCCAGTGTGGTCTTTCCTATAGATTAGCCACAGTACAGTACATGTATTGGGGCAGCCAAAATACAAGTAGACAATTAGCTTTTCTACCACAGACTAGTTTTGTTAACATTCCCTTGATTTGACAGCTGGAATAGATGAATGTCATTCCTGACCTTTTCAATTTTACAGCTTCTTCACTTTCATAATTCCAACTCCTGCAGCTGCGGCATGGAAATGAACTTTAATAATGTTCCCCAAACTCTTGAAAATGCATTACTTAACAGTTACATTTTACAATACTCTAAACAATATGAAGGTTTCATATCACTGCTTTTAAACCCACAGACTAAATGCAATTAGCATTAACAATTAAGTGGTGGGCATTTCTTGACTGCTTTAATGGAGCAGATCTGAATAATCGGACATTAGGTATCCACATTTCATTGTGATTTATGGTGACAGAAAAAATTATTCTGCCCTGAGTTTTAATTATTGCTGGAAGATATTCTATAGGTTTTTCTATTAATGCCTTTCATTTAATGTTATAGGGTCAAATGCTGTTCATTCTATTGATGTGAATAATTCTGGTGAAGCTAATATAAGTAAATATGAAGAGCAGGAATCAGTTATACAGTGTAAATTCCAGAGGTGTAAGCTGTGGTATTCCACTGAAATCAAAGGAATGACATGATGTTGGTCCAGGTGAGACTCTGCTATTTTTCTTAATTTAGTTAATCACAATCTGCATTTATGCTAATTTAATTCAAATTTTTAAAAAAGAGGGAAGGAATAGAGGGGATACCATCACTGTGGAGAATATGAGGTTAAGAAACATTAAATTAAAACTGTTAATAAGTTTGGTTTCTCTTATATACAAGGTAAGACTAGTCCAGGTTTAACTAGCTAGATCAGGTAAAGCTATAGGATTGGGAATTGGGAAGCAAGGTGGAATTGCACAGCACAGCAAAGTTAACCTTAGAAACAACAGGAAGGCAAACTGTCAGTGATGCTGCTCGATGGGCTGTAGGGTTGACTGGGGCCCATTAGCTACGTGGCTGCAGGAGCTGCTGAGAACCTCACCAGTAATGACCTTGTTCTCCTCTTCTTGCCAGCCAGCCTGGTCCAGAGAGGAACCCTGGTAAAGCCCACAGTGTATTAACCACTTTTTAATATATTCTTATAGTCCTTTTGAAAGGCTCGTTTCAAAGCTCTCATGTAGCTAATGGGTTGAGCCTCTTCTGAGAGTTCAAATATCCTAATGAGATTAACTCATTAAATAACTGCCCATCACTTAGTTGCTGATACTCTGATGCACTGGAAGAGAGAGCTGCCTGTGAAAATGTTAGCGCTGCTTGGAGATGATTTCTCTTTGAATATTTTTAGATTATTACCTTTTCCACCCTAGATAAGTCAGTGTCCTTTCCCCTGTCACACAAATGGACTGTGTGGCAATGGTCTTTCTCCCTTCAGGTTGGTCAGGCAAAGGTGACAGGTTTTGCCACCATGACATTACCTCCTTCCTTAGGAATGAGACTTAAACCTCCCTGTGACTAATTACTTGTCTCTTGGGGGATGGATTTGTCGGTGCTCACACAAGCAGAATGGCACAGATACCTTCCACAGAGCCTGAGGAAGGAAAAAGTAAAATAACTTCCCCTCAAATTTTACAAATTAACCAAAACCCACAAATAAAATACTCATGTGAATATCTGTGAAATAGTGAAAACCATGGCAGGTAACACAGGACAGTGTTAAACCTACACATTGGTGTCAAGTGGCAGGAGATGTTGCCTCCCCTTAACAAAGGTGGCCTGAGTCTCATTTCTGCTGCCTTATTAGCGTCCCAGTGGTCAAGGAAAGCTTAGGATTAAGTAGCTTTTTGGGGAGAGTCCAGGAAGGAGTTTGTTTTTGGAAAGCCTCCTGCAGGGAGCAGATGAGCCTTGGCGTGGAGGCGGGTGGCAGAGGTGCCAGGAAGGAGTCCAGGCAGCGTGACCTGGTTTGGCTGCCCAGTTAACACTGGTTGCTCCAGTTTCAAGAAACAAATGTTCTGTCCCTGGACAAAGGATACAAGTAATGCCAAGGCTGGGAGATTCCTTTGAAGAACTGGCTGGCTGCTTGGGTTGCTGGCAGGCTTTAATGGCTGTGGGAGTTCCCAAGCAAGCTTGCTCACAGGAACAAACTTTGCTCAAAAGGAACAAGAAGCTGTTGCTGTGACCTCGCACGCACACACAGGTAGTACCTTACAGAAGCAGCCCTTTGGAGAATAGCAAGGAGCCCCATTTGCAAAGCTCTAATTTGAGAAGTCCCGACAGAGCAGAGCTGTCCCACAGGCATGGTGCTTTAAAGTGTGATTGGAATGGTCTGGACAAGTTGGGATCGTTCTGTCTAGTTAGTGAACCCACACTTGGAAATGAGACACATGCAATTATGATGACCAGTTCAGACCACACCGGTATTGCTATACTGGTGTATAATCAACAACTTCATTTGTAGCTCTTTAGGGTATAAACCAGTATTAGATGCAATGCATGAAAGATAGGTGTTATTTTTCTTATAGGCTATGCTCTGTTTCTCTACACACAGTCTTTCTGGTTGCTTCTAAAGAAAGCTCGGGTTTTTTGACAGTCAGCTGCCTGAGAAACTTAAAGGTTGCTCTTTAACACTTCTCCATGGCGTGAGTCTGTCTTGCTTTTCAGGTTTTTGTGGTGAGCCAAGCTGGTGAAAATTTATGGATTTGAAAATAAAATGTAAAACTTTTGACTGTTGGTGGAGAGAAATAATATTTCATTTATGGATTTGAAAATAAAATGTAAAACTCTTGACTGTTGGTGGAGAGAAATAATCTCTTTTTTTTCCCCTCTGTTTTTAACCCATTCTAGTATTGGTTAAACTATTTAAAATGACAATATTTTGACTGTTGGATTAGGGTAGAAAGTAAGAAAAAGAGGTTTTTGTCATTTTTAACCCATTCTAGTATTGGTTAAACTACTTAAAATAACAATATTTTGACTGTTGAATTAGGATAAAAAGTAAGAAAAAAGGGAAAGGTTTTGGTCTTGTGTTTTTGCAGCCATGGTCTCTGTTTACTACCAGTGATAGAGGGACACAGAAAAATTCTTATTTATCTGCACAAGGAGTAAATTATCATCTCTAATGTGAACAACAGCCAAACTATTGAAACTACTAAAATAAATCTTTCTTAGGTTTGGGGGTTTGGTGGGTTTTGTTGTTGGGTTTCAGTTTTTTACTTAGTTGAATAAGTCATTTGAAAACTAAGAGAGCAATGCTTTTTAAGCATAGCCCTGTGGTTTGCTTAATCAAATTGTTAGACGCAGTGACTGCTTTTTAATACATTGTTGAACAGCCTAGGCTGTGACCCTAAGCTCCACATGCTGGAGCCTAAATTACACATATTTTCCTTTTTTTTTTGCATCATAGCCTAATGTATTGTACTCCAGAACTGTCCTCCACGCCCTTGGAACATAACGATTGCAATGCCAAAGTGGAATTGTCTCTATTTCCTAACGGTGCACCCTGTTTGGGCCCATTCAGATGAAAGAGTGGTCAATGTCTGTCCAGCCGCAGCAGTAAATAAGACAAAAGAGAGAGCAGCAATACTTCATTGCTCGTTTTTGTTTGCTGTAGACTTGTTTCAAAGACAGCAGAAGGAAATGGGAAAGGAGGGAAACTGCCAGAGTCACATCTGTACCTAACTGTGTCTAACATTATCTTTTATGTCCCATCGTTATCCTACCCAGGGAAAAACCACTGGTGTGTAGTGCCAGCTGTCTGCTCGGCACAGCGGAGGAACTGGGAGAAGACACCAGGAACAAGGCAACCATTAAAGAGATATGGTACCTCTGTGTTATTGACACTTTTTAGGTGTTAGCAGTGTCCCTTTGGGATGGGGGGCAGGAGGCAGCGTGGTGTGGGGCTGGGAAACACGTGGCAATGACTTGGCCACAGGGCTGTGACAGCAGAGCTTGCTGCCAGCCCGCTTTCCAGGAGGGAAAGGGCAGCAGGAGCCCTTTGGAAGAGCGTCCAGCGCAGTCGCTCAGGACTGGCCCTGACATTGGGCATCCCAGTGCTGCCTTCTGTTTGCTTCAGTGATTAAATTTGTTGACTCAGAAGTTTGATCAATATTTAATGTGAGAGGCAGCGTGTTGATGCTGATTTTAAAAGAGAAGTGAACGTACGCTGTTATCTCTGTGCTTTTCACAGATATGAATGATGGCAGATTTCAATATTGCATTCACAGTCACTCTGGGAAAGGATGTGTTCAGCCCAGGATGCAGCCCATGGTGCGTGGTGTACTCTGGAAATGCAAAGTAATAACAGCTTATGTTAATAGCATAAACCATTGATTACGTATGCTTTGATGTGAAGAACCACACCGCTGATTGAACTTGTAGCTGTAGTCAGGGACTGATTCACCAGGTGATTTTTTTTTTTTAGCCAAGCAGCTTCTGAATCATGGGCCTATAATTGCTTCAGATTCCTGTTATTGATCTCTTATGTCAAAATAATTGAACTTTATGGCTGACTTCTGATGCTTATTGAGAAATCATATAATTACTTCCAACCAGCTGGGAGTCAATAGAAGTTGAGTACATACCACTACGCAGAGTGCTTGATATATACATTTCCTTCCAAATAAAACACAAGACCTACAATATATTCATAAATCTAAGAATCTGCATGCATGGTCCTAAGTTACATAATTACATCCCCTAACATTTGTAATACTTGGATTAGCTGTTATGTGTTTGGATATAAAATATACCTACTTCAGCCCCAGCCCTACAAGCTGGGGAGGCTGCTGCGCCTGCAGAGCCCCACAGCGGGGTCAGCACTGATGCAGCTGTCTCACACCCAGAACAGGGATCAAGGTCTTGTTGGCTGAACAAACACTACAAAGTGCTGGGAGCCAGCATGTTTTATTATGCTGAGGCTGACTGGGACATGTCCTATAAAACACCAGAACCTCCTCTTTTTCCATTTGAAGCTCGCACCAGTCTAGAAAATCCTATCCTGTATATCAATTTCTTTTTTAGCTTTGCCTTCACTCTTTTGTTTAGACCAATGAACTGTCTGAAGCTTTATTTACAAAACTCTGTATCTGGGACATCCTTGTTCTCCTTGAGAGGGTCTTCAGAGTAGACATACATGTGTAGTCTTTTCTTCAAAAAGCTCATGCTTCTATAATTTCACAAAACTAACATTTTTGTTGACTACAGGATTATGACAAATAAACAGTTGCAATCCCTTTGAACAAGCAGTTAAGCTCTCTGATAAGCTGACACTCTTTTCTGGAATGACTTAAATTGAGAATTTTCACATGCCACAGCTGATGGGGAATACACTATACAGTGTATACACACACACAGAGCTTACAAGGTACTTAAGTGATAAAACATGCTTTATGTGAAGGTAATGAAGATTTCATGTTGCCCAGTTGAATGGCTTTAGCTGTCAATTTCTAGATCAAATCCTATCTGAGAAAACACATTACCTTTACGATGTCTTGTTTCCAGTGTAATCACTATTCTGCTAGTACTGGTTTTATTCACTCCTGCATTGCTTTAAATAGTGTTTTAGTAATTCTTCCTTAAGGGGAAGGAAGCATTAATCAGCCAGTGCATTTAGTACCTACTTACATTAATATCTAGACAATGCAGTGATTTAGAATTCTTTACACCTTTCTGCAGGTTTTTCATTATATTTCTTAGTGTCTTGAGGATGCCTTTCCTCATGACACTTCACAATAAACCTCTGCAAAATGAATAGCTTTCATTATGAAATCAATGATATTCCCTCTAAACTTCAGGGGCAATGTCAAAGAAAAGCTACTATAATTGCTAATGCTGAGCATTTTTTATGACCAAACTCTACTTCCCAGATGTCACAGCAACACAGTCATCACCTTCCTTGGCACTTTTGCCCTCCCTTGTCACCGTGGTTCTCTTTCTCAAGAAAGTGATTGTCAGCCATGGCTTTTTCTGTTCACATGTCTTTGCTCTGTTTTCTGTTCGAATTCAACCTTAAAGCTACCCTTTTCAGCAGAAATGGTCTAAAGTTTACACCTGTGACTCTGCATAGCAGGAACCCCTGACCACTGCCTCTCCTAAAGCATGATTATAAGGATGAATTTTAATTCTGAAGAACAAGAAGTTATTAAGAACCTGATGTGTGAATTTTAATTCCAGATTTTGGAATTTTTTTTTCAGGAAGGTCTACGATGCCGACACAGAATATTGCCTGTGACCAGCCCAGTCTTCACTCTCCTCTTCTGAGCACATTCTTAGGTGTTAGACATTTTAATTTGAAGCAGGGTCCATAGCAGGTCCATTTTTAAGAGCCAAATCCAGTGTGCTTACTAGGACTAGCCCCTGGAATGGTTGCTGCTTGTGCTGACTGGGTCCGTATGTGAGATGCTGCTCAGTTTGACCCTGGCTGAAACTGGAGCCCAGAGAGTTCCCTACCCCGGGGGCCTAGAGGAAGCGGCTGGACAGAGGACTTCCCAGGGCTGCTGCATTGGCCATGGACATGTAAGTTCCTCAGAGTTCTGTCCGTGATTAAATTAGGCCCATTCATTGTTTCTGAATGCAGCCCTTTGTTCTTCTGTGTTCACGTGTACCAGCAAGAGAAGTGATGTGGACTAATAGGTTTGGTAAAAGGCCTCCAAACTATCAGGTAGAAATACTCAGCAGCTGTTCATTAAATGCAGATAGTGTGGATCTCACCAAGGTGCAAAACAGCACCAGCCTCGCTCTGTCTCGTAGAGAGACACAGTTTCTTCCACTTCCATTTTTTAAGGGAATACATTAAGCTCTGGTTCACAGGAAAATCCTAACAATTTGTCAGCCTCTTGATATTCTCTTGATTAAAAAACAGTTTAACTTGTTCTTCCTTTTTTAGAACAGAAATAGACATCTGAGTCACTAATTTGTTTGCCCTCTTCGAGGCTGTTGAAATGTAGAAGAGATGAGTTAGGAGCCCCTGGCAGTGGGGGCTATAATGGAGATGCTGACAGTCTTATTTATAGCATGGTCATGCTACCAGGCATTACAATTACATTTCACTCAAGGAAGTGACTTTGACTATCTTTAAGTAAAAGATATAGTTTAACAGCTTTTTAAAGCTCATCTTAAAACCGTACACGTTTAGATGACTGAATTTTTGTCATAACCAAGGTACCGTACCAAGTGGTTATCCTGATGCTCTGTTTTACTTTAAAGGCATACAATTGTCTTATCTCATGCCCTGCCTTAATTACTTTAAATGCACTGACAAGCACAACTGACCAATTAATAGTACTTTTTCTCATCTTATCTCATTTGTTATCCATGATGCTCTTCCATGTCGTAATTACTTTTCAATTTTTCATGACTCAAAATAGGAGATGTACATAATGAATACAAATAGCAAATTGATTAAATGTAACATGCATTGTGGCACCAGGGAGATTGTCATTTGTTATTAATGAGAGAGATTTGTCAGGTTCTTGTGAAAAGGCTTGTGACGCACAGCAATCCAGACCTAATAGCTGTAAGACCGCAATCGACCTTCAGCTGTTTAATTGTCATGCAACACAAATAGGGAGGTACGAGTGATTTCCAAGATAATTTCTTCTTTCTCTGTTTTGGTGCCATCTTAGCATTTTTGGGCTTAGTTTCAAAACATGCAAATCAGGTTAACTTGGACTGTTCCAATAAATGGCGTGTCATTGGAAGG